CCTCCCACGTATCCACTCCCCCTGCCTCAAGCCCCACCCCCATCTCCGACCGACTAACCTCATCCCGCCCCCCTTGACCTGTCCATCCTCCCTGGACTGACCTATCTCCTCCCTACCTCCCCACCTACATTCACCTCTACTGGCTCCATCCCCGCCTCTTTGACTTGTCTGTCTCCTCTCCACCTATCTTCTCCTCTATCCATCTTCTATCCGCGTCCCCCTCTCTCCCTATTTATTCCAGAATCCCCCTTCCCCTCCCCCATTTCTGAAGAAGGGTCTAGGCCTGAAATGTCAGCCTTCATGCTCCTCTGATGCTGCTTGGCCTGCTGTGTTCATCCAGCTCTACACCTTGTTATCTCTGATAACATATAACCTGTTTTCTGATTTTGACCGATGGGATAACCCAGTGTCAGGCAACTGAAAGGACAGCAGCAATGGTGGAGCAATTAAAATCTGAGTTGGTTTAAAGGCCCAGCAATGGAGAAGCAAATGATACCTCAAAGGGTTGTGGGCCTGGAGGAGATTGTATGGAGAAGGAGGGGCAAACCATGAACTTTAAATCAATGATGAGAATTGTAACTGAGGTTGCTTATAATAAATGTAGCTGAATAAACACAGGGATGATGGATGACCAGTACTTTGTCTGAGTTAAGACATGGTTATCATTTTAAGTCACCTCAACTTTAAGGAGGTTAGAACGTAGGAAATGGGCCAGGGCTGCATTGGAAGAGTCAAGTTTAGAGAAAGCATGAATGAAAATTTTGGCAGCAGTTCAATTAAACTGTTTCAGAGATAGTAGGAACTGCAGATGCTGGAGAATCTGAGATAACAAGGTGTAGAGCTGGATGAACACAGCAAGGCCCGAAACGTCAGACTTCCTGCTCCTCTGATGCTGCTTGGCCTGCTGTGTTCATCCAGCTCTTACACGTTGTTATCTCAATTAAACTGTTATTGAGTTGGAAATCGGTCGAAGTATTGATACAGAGTCGTGATCAAAAGACCAACAGTCAAATATGTCACTGAATTTGCAAATAAGTTTGCAGAATAAAGCTTACCTTTCAATCCAAAGATGTCAACAATCATGAGTGAACTGAATTTCAGGAATACTATTCCTACATAAGGTCACCTCATCTTTTGATTAAGCACATTTCAGCATTCTAGACTCAAATTGAATTCAATAAGTTCAAAGTCAAAGCATAACCACTGCTTTCACTTTTTTCAGTCAGCTGCTTGTTGTCATTTAACCCTCCTTTAGACTAATCATCTCTGCATTTACTTCCTTTCTGCTTTACACCATTATCCTTTATGTTTGATCAGCCATGATCATGTTAAATGGCAAGACAGGCTCGACGGGCTGAATGGCCTATTCCTGTTCCTATGTATATCCAATGCGATTTAGCTTCCACCACCTCAGTCCTTCCCTTTTATCCGTTCCACGCGTTTCCCTACTTTCCTATCCCTGAACTAGCTGAAAACCCGTATCTAACTTATTCTAGTTCTGACAGTAAGTCATTGATCTGAACTGTTAACTGGTTCTCCCTTACTACGTGCCTGACGTGCATATTATTACTTTACATTTTCTGTTCTTGTTTCCGATTGCTTTCGTTACGAAGGTAATAATTGACTGAAAGATCATTGAAGGTTTCAGAATAAGTAGCTGAATGAAAATCACCCAGAGGCATATACTAGAGTCTGGTACACATGCGTTAGTAAGCCGCATTAACAGACTGGTAACAAATGCAAAATATAGCTGAAACGACGTTTCAGGTTGATGACCTTTCAACTGAACTGGCTGGGCCAGTTTCCAAGGTGTAATTTCCAGATAATTATAGCCTGCGCCCCACATTTCCCACGCACAGACGAAGAGAGAAAGGCTCTCTTCCGCTTCCGACGAGCGGGACGTTCCTCACGCTTCTGATTGGCTACTACGGATGTCAGTTAGTCCAGGTTGGCCCGCCCCCTTTTCGGGTGTCCGTTGTGCGCAGCCGCGGCGGTGGCGCGAGAGCGGCTGACGGTTTTTCGGACTGTGGTCGAGCTCTTGAGTCTCTGGCACCGAGAGGTCGGACATGTTGCTGTAGTTTCAGGACGTGGAACCGAGCGACTGTCATGAAGGTACTTGTCTCATTGCTGGTTTTAGTGCCGTCATTGTTAAATTTGGGGTGGTTGCTCCTTCCATGTAACGATGAAGCTGCCGCCCTCTATCTCACATCCCCACACCTCAATCGAGATACGGAATTATTGTCAAATACAGTAACATTTGGTATGAACAGAGACTTGATGCAGTTTTGGAACAGCTTCTCCTCAGTTTGGGAGAATCCAACAGCATTTGCAGGCAGCCTTGTTATTGTTGGAATTGGACGGCAAATGCGAGTGGGCGTTTACTGATCGTGGTGTAGCTATTTAAATTTGACATTTGTATCACAACACAAGCGTGAAAGTGAGGTATTATTTATCAGGGACAGCAGCAAAGGGAGCGGGATGCCTCTGCTGTCTGTGTTTGCCCGATTTAAGATTTGAAGAAGAGGAACGTAACAGAATGTGAAATCTCGAATCCGGAATGTCTGTGATGATCAGTACTTGGCAACATTTTATGTTTTCTTTTCTGTACATAAGATTTGCCAGCAATCTTTGTTGTTTGATTGTGCTCATAATATTCAAAATATATTAATTTTGGTGCTTTTGCCCTATGCATTGGCCGAAATGTGAATAAAAAGTGTCTAGCCCACTTCAATGCAATAGACGTCTTCGTGAAATACAGCTACGTATGATGGGTCCGTTAAAATTTTGTATATAAATTGAAATCCTAGTAATGAATTGCTATTGTTTAAATCTAACAATTAATCAAAGACGTTTCCTTAAATTTTTGAATAAAAGCAGTTCATCAATATAACCTGTATAATACTGTTTCTATATGTATATTTTATATTTACGTTATATTGGGATTCACAAACTATTCATTGCTACATTCCAGGCCAGCCTTGCTGGAAAAGTCTTTGATGAGGTGAAATTAAGCGTCAATAGTGGAAGTAGGCTGATGATTTCAATGAGACTATTTCACAAGCAAAAATGAATTTCTATGTATTAAGTTAAATGAGAGAATTTTATTTCTTTGCTAACATAACAGTTATCTGCATTTACACTGTGCCTTTTTAAGGCAATGTAATTCTCAGACTGATCAGACAATAATTGAGACTAAACTAAAGAAGGACACATTGAATCAAGCAAACTAAATCTCGGACAAAAAGGGAAATTGTAAGTGTCTCATAAAAGGAAATTAGTTTAAGGAAGGTATTCCTGAGGTTGAGATGTGCAACAAATCAAGCATAACCAATACTTTACTGCTTTCTGTCATGAACAATATAAAACACACAGCGCCAACACTCTACGATTGACTTTGTCTAGATGAGAGAAAATCAAACTGCTTCAAGGTGTTTAGCCTGTGAAATTTAATTAAACTATATCTTTAAAATGCTTGAGTATTTTGAGGAAGTTTACAATTTGTTGATTAAT